ACCAAAGTTCATAACGAACCATTTAACCAAACTCTTCACCAGCAGCCTAACTGCCCTATTCTATTTACAGTACCCCAGAGCCTGTTTGTCCCCTAACTTTTCTCTCTCTAGCCCCGCGACAAGCTCAGACCTTGATCCCTTAAGCCGTCTGAGCTCCACCACCCTAAGAAAAAAGGCCCTACTCAATCCTTCTCGGAACCCCAGATTCAAGAGATCCCATCCCATATCTGTGAGGTGGACCCCATCCTGCATAAAATACCCAGGCAACCTGTCCTCAAACTCTCTGTGCCAAATCACCACCCCCCCCTCCCAACATTTCTAACAAAACTGGCCATCAGTTTACCCTCGATAGAGGCCCTGGCATGACACCACTGAAGTAGGGGGGCCATTTTGGACCAGACGACCAAAACCCCAGGGACCAAGTCCCGTAGCCAGTTAATGTCCTGTTTCATCTACTTTACCCAAATTGTTGCCCCCAGCATGTAATAGTAGGAAATCAGGAGACCTTCCCCTTTCCACATCGCCCCAAGTAGCTCCTCGGTAACTGAACCACTTAATTGCGATCTGGTCAATTGGAAAGCCCAGCTGCTGTACTTGTATACAAGCTGCAGCCCTCCTCTTAGCCCAGAACATGAACGAATGTCCCATGATCCACGCTACTCGACCTGTGAAAACAAAAAAGAACCATCAGCCAAGAGACCCAAGCGGGGACTCCCCAAACCGCTTACTTGAATCACACCAGCAACCCCAGTCGCACGTAGGAGTGAAACCGAACAGATTCCCACCTCCCTCTTTTCTTCACCAGCTCCTCGCCGAGCCCCAATCGCGTGGCTTCCTAAGCTGCCGCAAGGAAGGAGTGCATCCCGAATTGTTCTGGCATCAGGCCCAACCTCCGAAGCCCCAAGCAAAAAACCTGCGCAAACTGGAAGCGCGACAGCGCCGAACCATCCTCATGTAGGAAAAGGTCGCCCGCACCCGCTGGTCGCAATGCCCAATATCGTGCCAAGCTCGTAACCGGGCACAACCGTGAGCCAGGGAGAGCATTGTAGTGGATTGCATTGGGCTGTCTGCTAAAATTGTGTGTTAAAATGTGCTTTCGTAAATTTCTTGCTATGTGTATTCCTATTGTATGCAGCATTCGACTGATTGTTCGGTAAAATCACTCCGTTCATCAAACGAATGAAACTACCGAACAATCAGACCACCCTAGGGATCAGTGTGCTTCTCGTTTACCCCCTTGATTCATTGTAACCACCAACTAATTGGCAATTGAGTAACCCTCCGTGTGGGCTTGCTGGGTGGCCATTGTTCAGCAAACGAACACGTGGCGGTGGCCATTTTACATACGAACGCTCAGCGGTGTTTGGTCGTTGAGCGTCTGGAACTCAAATCGGACACTTGATTACCCGAACACTGCTAAGACCTCCAGGGCTCCAGAACTACCGAACTGAACCACAAATCATTTGTTTAAATGAATCTCCCGAACAAGGGGATTCAGCCGAACCCCAGCTCAGCCCTGGATTGCAGGGATTTTCGTGCTTTTATGTACCGAACAAAGACCGACCGCAAGGTCCAAATTTATGGAACTGCTTTCGGCTACTGCCTCGTGTGTGGTTGGTCAAATCTCTACTTCCACATAACTCCCGAACTCCTGGTCCGATCTGGGTGATTTTTGAATATGTTGCTCACCCAGATCAGGGCTGTCAGGGGATATAAAATGTATCAATTGCATATTTGGGGTACATCTGAAAAACGGGTAAAATCCTATACTGTATTAGTGTCCTACTAAGGGGAGGAGAGGTATGGGAGGTAACATATACACAATTTGTTACTGTTCTAATTATTGTGGGTGTCTCCCTTGCATGGGAGAAATGCTTAAAAGGACGTTGTGTGGATTAAAAGTTAGTTCTGCTCCTGATGCTGTGTGTCGTCCAGTCATTGAGAAACGTGATGGGATACTTTTGGATTATTTTACTAACTGTGGATATTATTCTCTTGGGTTTTACTACTTGTTCCTGAACCTCACTTGGATTACCAGCGGAGATAGTCTGTGAGAGACCAGCACTCCGCTACAAGCATGCTACACCACATCTATCCCTTTCTCCCGCACATCTGTCTTCGACCTAGATAAGTGGATCACCACTCTATCCACCCCCGGTAGAGGCTTCCAATGCCTAAATGCCGCCCCTTGTTTGCACTGACCAGTTCCCCAATACGAAAAGCTCAGAAAAAGGCCAAAACAAATGCCGCGCCAAACAGGCCAGCCTCAAAGCCCGAGAAGCAAATCTCGGGCAGCACGTGTACCAGGCTCTCCAGAACACTGATGGATACTGGTTGTCGCGCTTCAGGAACCCCACGCCCCCTCCGGAAATCCTTTAACGCTTGCCGTATCACAAAATTTTTCTTCAATTCCCCCAACCGCGCAGCTTGAACCAAAATGCGAGCACCGCCATGTTCCTGTCCACTACCGCTGGGGAAGCGCCCCTAGCCATAAGCTCAAACGAGCATCAAGGCGCACGTCTCCAGCTCCAGCATGGCCCACGGGGTCTCCAATAACTCCCAAACCTTACAGTATGCCAGGAGCCAAAGAAGCCTTCACAAGCCTCCCAAACAGTCCATTTTGAGCTGCCACATCTCGTCCGTGCCCCTTTTCCACCGCTCCAGGCACCGCTGTTCGGAACTGGGACCACTGAAAATGAGACAAAGTGTCAGCCACGATGTTCAAGTAACCAGTGACATGTCGCACGCTGAAGACCACATTGCAAGACATACACATAAGGACAAATTTTCGCAAAAGCTGCACCACCGGCGCCGATGACGCAGACAACCGGTTGACCGCATGTACCACGGACATGTTGTCCATGTGAAAAACCACCTTCCTATCTTTCAGCAAGTGACCCCAAAGCATCAGCGCCACTAGAAGCGGAAACAGCTTGAGAAAAGCCAGGTTGCAACCCACGCCCTCGGCCAAGGCGCTGCACACCAGCGTCCCCTGAAGTACGCCATGCAGCCCATGCTACCCAAAGCATCTGTGAACAGCTCCAGATCCACGGCTGTAACTCCCGCCTGCCGGAAAATCACAGTCCCGTTAAACCTCCATAGAAACACCCAGACCTCAAAGTCAGCCTTCATAGCTGTAGTAACCCTAACAAAGTGATGAGGCGAACGGATTCCGACCGTGGCCCTGGCGAGACTTCTACTGAAAACCCTCCCCCTCGGCACCACCCTGCAAGGTAGGTCCATCTGGTCCACTCGCATCCCAGGGTTCGCCGCAAGTCACTGCCAGAATTGCTCATCTTATTTCACCATGCCAGGCCGCCGTGTGTACCATCCAGGTAGCAGAATAACGAGGAACACAGACCCGATGACTTCTCTCCAATAACACTGGCTAAGATGCAGAAACACGCAGCCAGTTCCCGAAGGACTTAGGTATCTTCCGATACCGGTTACGTTTCTCCTCCTCTTTTGCATCCTTCTTGAGGTACAAGTAGTCCTCCAGCGGCAAGAGCAAGAAGATTTCGTAGAAACAGGCCTGCAAAGGATATGTACGCATGCTGCCGTGCTGCATCAGGAATGCCGACGGACAGTTCCGCCCTCTCAATACCCAATTCCGAGGCTACTGCCGTCGCCCCAGCACCCGACTCGGAATGCCTGCTGGAGCTCCCTGCATCTGACACACCTGAACCCGGAGTGTCTGGAACTCAAATCGGACACTCGATTATCCGATATATCGGATCAGGGCTATCGGGGGATATAAAATGTATCACTTGCATATTTGGGGTACATCTGAAAAACTGGTAAAATCCATACCGTATAAGTATAAGTATACTGTGTCCCCTTTGTAGACGCACACTGGACACAGGAGTCAATTAAAGATTGTAGCGATTCAATAAAACCGTGTGAGTGCTGTGTAGTGTCCAACTCACCAACCAAGCCCGTAGCCAAAGCAGGCCTCTGGGCTGTGTTACGGGATCCGATGGGGCCAGGGCTGACCACCCATGCATACACTCCGCCAACCGGGTAATACACCTTGATCGCCGCAAAGAAGATCGGCTCTGTGACCTGCAATGAGAAGAGACATTCCTGGGCAGGGTGCACCGTTCACCAGAGACCCCCCTGCTGTAACCTTGGGATTGCCTGCTGGGCCGCGAGGCATCTAGCCCTCTCTCTTGGCCACCCTGGCCGCTGCAGACACCTGAGGCCCCGTCGACTCCACCCCTGGGGCCACGACTCCGTACCACATAACTATGGAAACTTCCGCAGGACTCCAACCATGAACTTACTAAATGGTAGATTCAGCCATGTCTGACCGGTGTCCAGACCTCGAGCTGTGCGCGCCCACCGACTGGACCCATCTCAACCGCACGGGGCGGCCTCTGCGCTACCGGAGATGCCTGCAGGGGGCCCAGACGATGCTAGGGGGTTCCTGCGCCCTCCTGTTACTAGCACCAACCCCCCACCCCCGTGCACTGCCCTAGCCCAGGGGGTTTGGTTGGTATGACATCTGCACCGAATTCTTTAGGAGGATAGGGCAGGGCATTGTTTTGGATTTTATTTTAATCCATGCTGCAGGTAATGACGTGGGTCTTGTAACTCAAAGGGAGTTGATCCGGACGATGTTGAGGGATGTAGATAGGGTGAGAAGTATGGTCCCAGGTGTAATTGGCATTTTGCTAGAATCCCTGCGGCTATAGCTAAAAGTCACAGTAAGATCAATCAGTCAATGGCGGTCTACATTAGGAGATTAGGGGGTGTTGTGATTCAGCACAAGGAATTAGAAGACCTGCTTCACGGCTATTACCGATATGATGGAGTGTATCTTTCTGAGGTGGGCACGGACTTCTTGAACTTGGGTTTTCAGGAAGGACTAAGACAGACTCTTTGTAGGCAGGTGGGCCTGGGTGTGTAGCGGTATCTCGGTATACCTTTATAAGACAACATCTATCACAACATCTATCATACAACACACCAGTTATAACACAACAGCTATCATACAACACACCAGTTACCACAGTTGCCAAGGGCACTTATACCTTTATAAGTGCCCTTGGCAACTGTGGTAACTGGTGTGTTGTATGATAGATGTTGTGTTAAGATTGCTGTCATTTATTTGGGGATCATTGTCTATATGTTTGCATTCAATGTCTTTAAGTATGTTTGACTCTGACCCCCTTCTTTTTACAATTATATGTGAACATTTATACTAATAAAAGCTGTGATATTTTCCCAAGCAATATTGGTGTCTGTGTTTATTGTGGGGTGGTCTTAATGTGGGTTTATTAGGAATATGCCTAGGGGACGACTATGTGCATGTTATGGAGCCCAGGGAACAGCAAAGCTAAGTGGAGTGGGCCTTGACCTAGCTAGGATGCAGGCAGATGGATCTGGGGGAGTTAATGCCCTTGGTGGCTGTGAATAAGATGCCCTTGGTGGCTGTGGTAACTGGTGTGTTGCATGATATATGTTGTGTTCAGATTGCTGTCATTTATGTGGGGGTCATTGTCTATATGTTTGCATTGGAAAAGTATTGGGCTTAAATGTATTTAAGTGTGTTTGACTCTGACCACCTTCTTTTTACTATTATGTGTGAACATTTATACTAATAAAAGTTGTGATATTTTGCTAAGAAATATTGGTGTCCATGTTTATTGGGGGGTGGTCTTATGGTGGATTTATTAGGAATATGTGTGTATATATATATATATAGTCACAGTCACAAATAACTTGGCATTGAAAAATATAGAAGAATTGAAGGATAGGTGCATTCTGAGGTCTTATACAATTACAGAAAGGTTTATGCCGACGGTCTTGTGACTAGATTTTCTTACCGTTAAGGACCAGGGCTGTTTTTACATTTCAGTGGTGTTTGTGTTTAGCTGTAATTTTCCTCTTACTCATTTACTGTACCCCCACATATACCATTTTACTCGCTATTAAATGGTCTTTCTAAAGATACCCTTCACATGTATATATTTTTAAGAAGTCAACCCAAGGTATTAAACTTGGGGTATTTTGACTCTTTTCATGCAACCATTTTACCACCAATCTATGCCAAATTTTAAAAAAAAATTATAATAATTGGTTATTTTGACACACAGAGCAATTTAGTTACCGCCAAAGAACCCAACAAGTGTTCAGCACCATCTCCAGAGTACATTGTTACCACCCATATACAGGTGTGTCGGGTCCTCTGGGAGCTAAAAACCTTATTTGGAGGGTGAGCATTCCAGTTTTCCAACTTGGAATTTTTACAGTTGGTCATCATGCACCCATGTCCTATTTGGGAATTTTTTTTATTTTAAATTCTTTATTTTATTGAGGCTTTTGGATAATATACAACATAAAATAGCAGTAGGAGCTATTGGCACATGAACATTAAATGCAGTCGAGTAAAATATGCTCCATGAACAAACAGCCTCCTTTTTCTTTTTTTTCAAGTAAAAAATAACGATACATTGTTGAAAACATAGGCAAACCATATGCACTAAGATTATTAGATATGCAAAAGATATAACAGGATAGATATGTCTTAGCGCTAGAGTGATGATCAGCAGAATAAGTAATGAAAGGCAGAGAGTCATGAGTATAGCACTTGCTAGTTAACCACTGGGAGACGGTTGGTGACGAGGGCATTGTACAGTGTTATGGAAAGACATTAGCAATTCAACTAGAGTAAACTGAGACATTATGTATATGTTGGACACTCTATAGAAGTAATCATGTTACTCTGCAGTCCCAGATTATGAGCTTTAGAGCTAGCTCCCTGGTAGTATGAGAGTGTTCATCATATGCCCAGAACAGGGAAACACTTTGTGCCATGAATGAGGCAGTGTAACACTGCAGCAAGAAGGGTGGAGTGCAGAGCTTCTCTCCAGCCCAGTGCCGGTAAGCAGGTCAGTTTCATTGTGTTACGGACCTGACTGATGTTGTCCATGTCCTTCCAGAGAGGAGGGAGGCAAGCGGTCTTGGTGCGGTAATACCGCTGTCTGCGGTTGCCGGGCTTTCGATGTGGGGCGACATTGTGGGCTTTTGACCCTCGGCCCAGGAAAGCCAGTTGTAGGAGGTGCACATGCTTGTGTAAGGTTAAGGCCCTGGGTAGGCCCACTCTTCTCCAGACTATCCATCTTCCCATTTGCCACCAGAGGCTAAGATGAGGCAGAGAGGCCCAGAGGCAGGCGAGTATCTCAACCAGTCTCTTCAGAGATTGCTGGATGCTGTCAGGGCATTCTCTCTTGGGCTGAGTAGGTTCAGAGCCACGAGGTGGGACTGCAGCCGCCATCTTTACAGGGGGAGCTGCGTGCTGAGCAGGATCGAGTACAGTGTCCTTGATTCTCGGTGAGGCTTGTGGCTGGCCAGCGGGGACCTCCACCAGTCCAGAGGGGGGTAATGGGTCTGCAATTGCCCCTTGCCAGAATAGCGCCATATGCAGTGCGGGAGAGCGGCCGCCTCGCCCACCCAGCTAATTCTCCAGGCCCCACCAGAACCTCTGATAAAGGTATGATTTGGCAGAGAGGCAAGTGAGGGATTCCCAGGCAGGCTCCTGGCTGAGGTAAGCTGCATAATCGGTTGTTTTGGCCTGCTGGGACGCTATATAATCACTTAATTCTCCATTTAGGTGTGGCGCTCTCATGAAACGAGTGCAGCCGCAATGAAGTTCAGGCCCCATCCGCCTATTTGGGACATTTTTGAATCTGGCCAATGTAATTTACCCCATCAAACCATATTTTTTTGAAAAGCAGACACCCTAGTGTATTTCAAATGGTGGTATTTTCACACTTTCCATACACTAATTCTAACACCAGTCTTTGTCAAACATTTGTGTAGTCATTTTTTTGTGTTATTTTTTTCTCACATTGTACTTTATGTATGGATTCTCAGTTCCTGTTATGCGTTACTGACAAAGAACACCCCAATATGTGTTCAGCAACATCTCCTGAGTACAACAGTACCCCCAATGTACAGGTTTTATGGGTTTTTGCAAATTTACAGGGGTAAAATGTAGGGCTTTCCTCTTTTCCATGTTTGCACATTGAAATTTGCCAGATTGGTTTGCTGGGCCTATGTTGCCTTTGAGACTGTATGGCAGCCCAGGAATGAAAATTAACCCCATCATGTCATACCATTTGTAAAAGTAGTCAACCCACGGTATTCAAAATGAAGTATGTCTAGTCATTTTTAGTAGCCACTTAGTCACAAACCTTGACCAAAATTAGTGTTAATAGTTTTTTTTGCATTTTTCACACATAAACTGCCATTTCACACATGATGTTATCAGCATAATAAATTTTTACTGCTCTAAAATACTCATATTTGTGTAGAGCATGGGTCCTCAAACTCTGGCCCCCCAGATGTTGTTGAACTACAACTCCCATGATTCTTTGACTTACATAGATAGCCAGAGAATCATGGGAGTTGTAGTTCAGCAACATCTGGGGGGCTGGAGTTTGAGGACCCATGGTGTAGAGTAATGTCTCACGAGTACAACAGTACCTCTCAAGTATAGGTTTTATAGTGATTTGGAAAGTTACAGGGTCAAACATAAGATTTGCCAATTTCTGTTTTTTGTAAATTGCTATTTGCCAGATTGGCTATGTTGCCTTTGAGACGTATCGCAGCCCAAAAATGAAAATTAACCCCACCATGACATACCATTTGAAAACGTTGACAACCCACGGTATTTAAAATGGGGCATGTACAGTCTTTTATAGTAGCCACTTAGGCCCAAACGCTTGCCAAAGTTAGTGTTCATATTTGTTTTTTGCATTTTTTTTTACTGGTGATTGCTTTATCATGATATGTTTTACTGTTTAAAACACTCATATTTGTGTTCCCTGAAGTCTCCTGAGTATAACAATACCCCCATGTACAGGTTTTATGGTGTTTTGGAAAGTTACAGGGTCAATACAGGGCTTGCCCAATTCAGTTTGTGTAAGGATCTTACCTGATGTGGAGTCCGAAGTGCAGAGATGTTTACTCACCCTTGCAGATAAACACAGCCCACAGTAACCAGATAAGAAGCTACCTGGGCTGTGAATCTGTGCACAGGGTCTTAGGCAGGAACAGTAACCGGGTACAAGGAAACGGACAAGGGCAAATCCAGAAGAGTAGTCAGACGCGGTGCCAAAGGTCAGTGCAGGCAATAACAGACATCCAAAAGCAGGGGGTCACAAGCCAAGTCAGTCTAAAGCAACAGGAACAGGAAACATGAAACAACAAACTAACACTGCCCTTAGGGAGAGGCAGTGTTATATACCTGGGATAATGATCCATCTGCCTCAGGTGGACTTAGATTGAAAGGTGGGAGCCACTGGTGACGTCCAGTTCCCTAGTGCTGCAGGCAATGCCGGATAAACAGGGCTAGGTCCACAAGTACTGGAGTGACTCAGAGTCAGGAATGCAGGCTTAGGATGCAGAAGATCCCCTGTCTGGCACCTGTGGGGCAACCACGCCTGGCTGTCTGGATGGCACGGTTAGAACCGTGACAGCACCCCGCTTTAAGAACGCCCTCTGGACGTGAACAGGTTCTTCGTAGAGGTAGTATTTCTCACTGTTGGAGTCCCCATCCATAAAATAACATCCCTCGATATCAGAGTCCCCAGAGAGTGGTTCCTTCACAGTAAGGAGCCCCATAGTACCAGCTTCTGGTATCGCTGGAGAGTCGTCATGGTCTTTGAGGATCTGGGTGCAGGTGGTAAGTATTTTGATTGGAGAAGGAACATCCTCTGAACTTTTCTCCTTTGGTACATCAACAGGATGGAGTTCGCGGCTTGCAATGCCTTTCAAACCTTTCCAAATCCTTTATGCGGACATTAGTACAATTAGAGGCATAGGTACAATCCGAAGGTAGATCTTTGAGCAGACATGAAGTGGTGATGTTATCACTGGAAGTATCTTCAGGCTTACATGCAGATGACTCTGGAGCAGGAGATGGAGGTGTTGTCAGGGAGGTCAAGCATGTGCTGGCATGACGGTATCTTTGAAACTTTTCAGGCTGGCATGCAGAGCTCATGGGATGAAGAATGATAGTAGTCAGTTGGAGAGCTGGAGGCCTAGGTGGTCGAACAGGGC